CTTGGAAACACCAGAACTTATAAGCATACACCTCACTTTATCCATTAAAGTCTTGTTCATCCTCTCAGCAACTCCATTTTGCCGAGAAGTATAAGGTGCAGTCCTGTGTCTATTAATTCCAGCATTACTACAGAGCTGATCAAACTCCTTATTGCAGAATTCCAGACTATTATCAGTTCTAAGCACTTTAACTCTCTTCCCATTTTGATTTTCTACCAAGTTTTTCCAAATTTTAAACTTTTCTAGGGTTTCAGATTTATGTTTCATTAGGTAGACCCAAACTTTCCTAGGATAGTCATCAATCAAGGATAGAAAATATTTATTTCCTCCTTGAGTGATAGTGGATGAAGGCCCTCACAGATCAACTCATATATACTCTAAAATAGATGTGGTCTTATGCTTTCCAGTGTTGAAATGCAGCCTATGCTGCTTACCTAAAGTGCAATTTTCACAAAAAGGCACTTTAGATATGGAATCCTTTCCAAACACACCCATTTTGTAAAGAATCTGTAGACCCTTCTCACCTACATAAGCTAATCTCTTGTGCCACTTTAAGGTGGCATCAAGTTCAACGTTGGAAGATTCAGCAACTTCCACACTAATTATACTAGCCTTGACAACATAATTTGATTTCTTTTTATCCCCTTAAAGATGACAAGAGAGTCCTTAATCACCTTTAAGAATCCAATACCAATTTTACCTTGTAGGCCCAAATCATCTAGGTTACCCATTGAAATCAGATTCCTGTTAAAGTTAGGAACATATCTAACCCTTTCAAGGGTATAGATATATCCATTTTCAAATTTCAATGTAACCTTTCCTATACCCTCAACCTTGCAGGCTATGTTGTTTCCCATCACTACCTCTCATCCATTTACTCTCTTAAAATTTACCAGCCAGTTCTTCCTAGAGGTTATATGGAAGGTACAACCAGAGTCCAGAATTCATTCATGAATTTGGTTTTCTTCATTGACAACATTAGCAATATCAGGGTCACGAGTTTGTTTAGTCACAACATAAACATCAACAGTAGTAGGTTCTACAAAATTTCCTTCATCCACCCCCTTTTGTTTCTGTTCATTTTTCTTTTTGTAACAGTCTTTTATAAAATGTCCTGTTGTACCACACCCATAGCATTTTTTATTCCTGGTTTTGGATTTAGATCTACCTCTACTCTTAAAGTTTCTCCTATGAGTAGTTCCCTGACTACTTTGACCTTTTTGAGCGAAATTAAATCTGGTCGGGGTCCTACCTCTAACAAATAGATTTTCTGGTCCAACACTATTTCTTTCAGTTCTAAGTTCAAGATCTTTACTCCTCAAGGAGTTTATTACTATATCAGGTGTAAGAGTGTCTCTCCCATACTTTATAGCTGCTTTTACTTCTTTATATATCTCAGGGATAGAATTTAAAAGGACTACAGCCTTGTATTCTTTTGAAACTTTATCACCAGCATTTGTTATGTCTTGTACTAACTTATTAAAGCTATCAAGACTATCTTCTAAGTCCTTAGTGGGGTCAATCTTAAAACTAAATATTTTTTCTAACAGAAACAATTTATTAGGTAAAGATTTGATCAGATAAAGTTTCTTTAATTCATCCCACAGTGTTTTAGCATCATCATGCTTACCAACTTTTCTCAGCACTTTTTTAGACAAATGTAAAACAATAGAAGTGTATGCAAGTTCATCAGATTCTTACTGTTGATCAGCTATCATAGTTTTAGGATATTCGTGGGTTATTACTTTAACAACTTTTTGTTGAACCAATAGACCTCTCATTTTTTGTTGCCAAATGGGGAAGTCCTCTTTTCCATCAAAAACACCAAGTTCAAAGGAAGTGATCGTCATTTTTTTTTAAAAAAAAGATAAGAAATAACACAGAGTACTTTAAGGATTTTAAAAAAGACTTAACAACTAATCAATCTTGAACAACAGAAGTGTTTTGACCTTCACAAATTTTGAGAGAGTCACAAATAACATAAAAGTATAATAATGCAACAAGATAGGAATATCACAATTATGTAAACGGTAGAGACACAGTCTATGCAAAATCAAATAAACAGAAAACTAATCACAGATTACTATATAAGATGATCAAATTCATCAGGATTCTGTGAGAATCATGTTCTTAGGTTAAGGCTCAATTTGAACATTCCAAGAACAATACAATATACTTCAATAACAAGTCACACAGGCCCAAAGAATTATTAGAATTATACTAGTCAAGTGATCATAAATGTGAGAAATACAGTTAAGACACATAAAGAAAACACATGATATCGTAGAAAGTAATCAAATCAATGCTATGGGTATAACCGAATGCAAACCAGAGGGTGGTTCATAGAAATTTAACCACTAATCCAACCAAACACAAGGGATCAGTTTAGAGCCCCTCAATTCCAGCAGTAGAAACCGAGCAGTATTTTGGTCCAGGCGCCAATCCAAACAAAGATTGTATTCACCTTGGGGTCCAACCACCAACCGAACCAAGTAATCACACAGGACTTTCAGATTTTCACTCAAAACAACTAGATTCGTAAGAGAACTCTCAGATCGAACAAAAAATGGATCTAGGGTTTCACGAAATAGCAATTGATCTTGGGACAGAACACAGGAAATTAATTTTCCAAGTTTCACAACCCGATCGAAGGCAAGAAATCACAAGATCGAAACTTTGATACCATTGTTATACAAAACTCTTTAAAGAAAATAACAAATCTGAAATTACACTTGCTGAGACTTTACATAACTATCACCGGACACCAAAGATAGTAAAGGATTTATGCTCAGATCCTTGTACCCTTCTGTATCATCATAAGAGGCCCTAACTCGAACCATAACCCTCACAAAGAACCAATATGGGGTTGCTTCAATGGACAGTATTTTGGACTCTCAACACAGATCTCAGTTTACCCACGCAGAGAAAACGCACAGATTTTATCTCACAAAGAGAGAAAGATCAACTCACTAAGAGAAGAAGAACACGCGAAAAACAGGAACCCAGAAGGTTCCAAAATCGGCTGAAGGAGAAAGAGAAAAATGAAAGTCACTCCAATTAGGGTTAGAAAACTTGTATTTATAGTAAAACAAAACAATCGTAGATTTGAATCTTAATCCAACGGTCTTGAGCAACTCTCACACTATTGGGCTGAATTCGGGTCGTGGTAAGTGGGCAATCTCAGATAATGTTATTGGGCAATGTTATTAGTGCAATATTTGGGCCGAAGGTCAATATCATCATTGCCTAATAAATTGTTAGACCAAGACTGGCATCACAGCCCAACAGAATTCAATTAAGGTCAACAACAATATTAAAACTGTATATCTACCTTTCATTAAATTGCAATTTTTTTTTTGTGATTCAAGCAAATAATTCACCTCTCAACTTGTTACCATTCACAAAATAATGAATTATTGATAAAGTAATCAAGCATTAAAAAAGAAGTGAAATCAATACATAAATCAATTATCAGTGCAAAACATGAAAAATTAAAATTAAAGGTTTAAAATTGGGTTACATCCGTTTGTCCTAACTAAAAATTTAGCTACTCATCATTATTGAAAACAATAATAATAAATGAATGCTCAAAAGAGAGAATAGTTAATCGAGTTTTAAAGAATAACAGGAACAAGATTAATATCTTGCACCAATATTTCTTCTTCTTGTAAAAGCGCTCCAAATCCTAGCCTACATTGTGTTTTTTTCTTGTGGTATAAAGTGTATGATATTGTGAGGTATCCCAAAAAATATGAAGGTTTTCTAATTAACATATATTTCGAGAAAGCTCAAAAACGAATTTGGGAAAGTCAAGCACTTGGGTTGTCAATTTGACTCGCTTGGGCTGCTCGTGGAGAAATCGAGCTGAGGCTCAAGTCAACTCTCATTTGAAGCATCAACCTAGAGCCCAAGTTGGCCCGCGTGCTAGCCTAAATATAGGCCAAAATGGCCCATTTTATTTGATTTTTTTTTTAAATATGACAACTACAGATGTCTTAAAAATAAGCAGCTACAATTTTTTAAAAATGACAACTACATGTCTTAAAATCCACATGTTAAAAAAAAGTGACACAATTGCCTCTAAAACAGGCAATTATGTTGCTACCTATCGCATGCAACTATGTAGCTACAACTGCTAATACAATTCCCTCTATTTTTACAAGTGCACGAGGTTTTCGTCTAAGAGTTGCCCAATTGCAGCCTTGGTTGCTAGAAATTACATCTAAGGACCGCAATCTATCAAATTTGTGCATTTTTACCCTAGTGTACTCAATCAGATTTAGTCCCTAAGCTCAAATTTTCGTGCAGTTTGACCCTTCAAATTTAAATCATCTAAATTAGGTCCTACCACTTCCAAATGCCTCCTAATTGATCCTTCATTATTCTAAACTCTTCAAATTTGATCCTCCAAAGTATTGACAACATTCAACTTGGTCCCAAAAACTTGTAGAATCTTAAAATAAACTCTTTGAAAGTTTCCAATTAAGTCCCTAAACATTTCAGAAATCATGCAATTCCATCCTTTTGTCCAATTTAAGTTCCATAACTCTTCCTTTATGTCAATTCACCTCTTAGTCCGGATTTTCACCTATAAAGGCAGTATATGCACTAAATTAAGTAGAAACCCGTTCAAATAGTCTATTTTCATCAAGTTTAAAAAATCTAGATGAGCAAATAAAACACACTTTTCAATTAAGCAAGATTTTCAATCATCCCTTAACTATGTCCCCAAAAGGGTTATTTTAATCCAGTCAATTAGGGTAGTAGTTGCACCAAACATGACTTTTTTCACCCGGAACTAAATAATATGTGTTGAGATAAGATGTGACACAGAGAAATAAGACAAGTAATAGAAGGATATGGTTCCACGAATACTAATTATGAAGTTGATTTTTCCTTTATTGGCTATTAAATACACCATGTTTACACAAACCTAGCTTCTATACAATTGAACATACGCATTAATATGCAAAAGTTAGTATTAACATATATTGCATGGATATTGCCAAAAGCTACCAAGTATGAATATTCAATTAGACAATATCGTAAATACATAAAATTTTCACAAGACATCCCTGACAAATATTTCCAATATCCAAATTTTACACATTAAAGCATTTATAAGAAGAAACTACTAGCTAGTTATATATTTCTATCCCAGTATGAATAACTCGTATCTAACCCTAGTTTAAGCACAAATGTCACCAATGCAAATCCCTATTCCAATCTTTCTTAACAATGACCTTTTGTTGTCTGTCCTATATATTATATCACCCCCTAAGAACTACAAGAGCACCCCAAGGCATCTTTGTCACTATATATGAAAGTGCTTCATTCATGTCGAGGTGAATGCTTCATGCCACGAAGTCTGATAAGATCTGAGATGAAAATGGCTTCCTGTTCTGGAAATCAACAATCTGGTCATGATAGCCAATGTTCTTGAAGATTGTTTACCCTATTGTAGTTATTTTCCACTGTTCCTGCAGTTTCAATTCTTGTTCCCAGTTTAATGTTTTCAGCAGGTGGCAGTCCAAGTGTGAGAAAAACATTGTTTCCATGGAACCTTGTTCCCAGTTGCTCTGGTCCATTATACCTTCCGAGTTCTTCTATTGCATACGTATCGAATCTGTTACTATGACTTGTATCAGCAGCCATTAACGTTAAATAGTTGTCTCCTGACAGCCCTTTGCTTGTCTGGTCTGCAGCTTTTGCTTCCATTGGCATTGGAATTGAATTGCTTGGAGAATTGTGCTTACCATTTCTTGGTTTTTTTGAATTCTGTCCGAGTATTTCTTCGATATTTCCATTGTTACTCTCCTCAAGAGCAATGGATTTTGAGACCAATTCTCTCATAGCTGCTCCAGTACTTTTGCTTTTGTTTTCGTCGGAAATGTTTAAATCTTGATTCTTCATTTCTTCCAAGTACATCTCCTCAACCATAGGTTTCCATAGCCGAACACGAGCATTTATGAACCAGTTAGACACCTGCAACGAGATAGATAATCTTAACCTCTCATGTACTTATTGATAAGTATGTTTTATACGCTTATTTATGCTCTTAAATTTACTTAATATTGGAAAAATTGAGCTAATTTCTACTTATATTAGGTGTATATTGTGTTTACAGGCTAAACCTTATATTTGAAAATGATTGTTGCAAAAGGAAGGGAGTTATAGTACGAAAAGATGAGTTAGTGAAACAAGAAACATACGTACGGAGTACGATATTAGTGCTCAAAATGATATTACAAAGATCTCCTTAAGATAAATGATGTATCTATGGAAAGATAATTAAATTGAAGTTCACCTCAATAAATGAATTGCAATTTGGAGTTGTGAATCAAAAGCTAGGCATTTGAAACTGATGGACTAAATCTGCACGAAAAAATGGGAACTAGGTACCAAGGTGCGCAAGCTTGGAAAATGGAGGATTTCGACTGCACAGTGCTTGAGTTTGGCCGCAGTGGGGTAAGGCAAATTAAGGCCCTTTTCTAGGAAAACTCTATCGTGGGACAAGTTTGTAGAAATGTAAACTTACATTCTACTTTGATATGCACCTTGTGAGATAGTTTGTGGGTAAATTGTCTTTCACCCACTAGCCATCTTGGTTCACACAGACATCATCTATCATAAGATAAAATAAAACCCGTGCGTACCGTCCGTTGCATATATGTTGAAGACTAAATTTCAAATAAATAAATGTGATTAGTCTTTAATAGATTAAGCCTTCAGATCATGCCATAACAGTTTTGACTTCAAGTCTAGCCGTTCTGAAAAAGGAATTCGGTGTGCAAATTAAGCAATGTGATGGAGACTAATAGATGAATGCATCCCTCGAATCTCTTATACTTCAACGTGACATGGAGTGGTTTGAAAGTGTACAATCATATGTGACAATTTTTGCGCAAAATGAGAATATGGTGAGGACACTTATAGATAAATTCATGTCAATAAGATGAAGTTTCAGATTTTTTGAACTTTAAGTATGACGGGGGAGTTTGAACGTGACGAAGAGTCGAAGAGACCCAACGCTCAATGTATGGTAACAAAAAGTATGACTAGAACGAATGAAGTGTAGCTTCTTTGACATGTTGTGTGCTCCCCCGTCTTCAAGAGGGGTAAACTTTTATTGCATCTACAGCTAGAGTTCTGGTGGAGCCCCTTCCTAGATTTCTATTATGTTTTATTGGTTTTTAATCATCTATTTTTCTTTTAAAAAAAAAAAAATTGTGCAAAAGAAACTATGGAAGGAATACTAGCAAAAAATCCATCTTTGATGCTCTAAACCATATTTATTGATGTTCAACCATGAAAATTTAACTTCGGTCCCCAATCATCAACAGAACAACATAAAATATGTATCATTATATTTACCTGACTCCTAGTAAGCCCTGTTTGCTTCGCCAGCATGTGTTTATCTGAATCCTTTGGGTAACTGCAATTTTAAGTGATATTTTCGTAATTCTTGGCATATATATAGTAATCAAACATTAAAAAAAAATGATGATCCCTTAAATAGATGAAAGTACTAACGGATGAAGGAAGTTCTCGAAGAGCCAAGCACGAAGAACTGTTACGGCTCTTTCAGGCAAGCCTCTTTGAGGTCTCCATGCACTGTTTTGCATCATACCCAGCTGTTGCAATGACCTTTGTTGCTGGAATTGATGATCAACAAACTTCAGTTTCGAGCCCTCAAACTTTTTGCCTGAATTTTCTACGTCTCCTAAGCTCTTGCTTATTTCCTTCAGTTGTGCAGAAATTGCATCTCTCAGGCACCGGAATTGCTTCGATATTGTCTTTAAAGCAAGGTGAGTGTATGATTTAGCTGAGCCAAATCCTGCTGCCATCTCAAATGATGCCACAACAATTTGCATTTGCTGATGGTACTGTTTGTATCGCAGCTCAACCTAAAATGTTCAAGAATTAAGTAATAAATAAATAAATAAAAAGATCAGCTAAATAAACATAAGTTTTTTGTACTATATATTTAATTGGATCCTTATATCCATGTTATGGCACGGTCCCATACTCAACCTGTGAAATCAATCAATTTTTGGAGGGGGCCAATACTATAATGACCTGAACCCACAAAACTGGGTGCTTAAATACGCCGAATTTGCATGGGCCAGCCTAAAGGGAACTCAATAGAATCAGTATTTTCTCTGATTGAAGTTGAAGTAGAAGCATTTTTAAAAAGTTTGAAGTTGCACTTTTGATCTGCCAACACTATAGCCATTGGCGAATAATTCATGGTAATTCTTTTTTGATTGAAACTGTGAAATTAAACCTAATTCCGAATACACTACTGGATACATTTTGTTGGCTATTTAATTCGGTTTCTTGACTATACGTATGTGCTAAAAAATCTAACTAATAAAACTACTCGGTATTGACATGTTTCGTTGTATGGAATCTTTCCTTAGAATGACATGAACCCAACTCCATTCTTGGATATTTGTCCTAAGTATTGTTTCATTAGCATTAGACACGACCTTTTACTTTAATAGCCTTTTGCGGACAAGGATAAAACTCCGTAGTATCCAAAATTCAAGTAAGAAAACCAGAATGAAATAAATAAGAAGAGAAGGGGAAAAAAAGACACAAAGTACCTCATCTAACATGTTAATAAGTTTAGCTTTCTTCATCTGAAGTTCCTGTCTTTGAGCAGTTGTAAGTTCAGTTTCACAACCGTTGGTGCCAAAGGCCTCAGCATTCACTCCGGTCGACTCTCTGGTTATCTTCCGTTTCTCTGCTGCCTCTCCGGCCACCACCTCATCAGTTTTTGTGCCTTTTCCGAGAACTACAAGCTCATCGAGAAGCTGCTGAGCAGCCTTAAGATATTTGGATCCCAAAATTACACTTTGCAGATCATTGACTCCATTAGACGCAGCAGAGAGTGATGTAGATGACCCAAGTCTTGGCGATACAGTGATTTCATTATTTGTAGGAAGAGACCTGTAGCCTCTTTGTTGGGGCGAAAGGGTCAAAGACAAGCCTTGTTGTGTCGGTGACACCGCCGGCCTTGAGTCACCAGAATTTGTTGCAGCCACCACAGAAGATATGTTCTGTTGATTTACACCAGCGGCTTGTTCAACTGACTTCCATAGATTATAGTGGACACTAGGGATTGCACCGTGAGAGGCTTGAATTTCTTGCTGGCCAAGAACTGACGGATGATTGTGATAGTATGAATTGGGCGACCCAACGGCTGCAGAAAGTGGAACGCCAACAAAGTGCTGAGACTGAGAGAGTGGCGTGTGAGACATCTGCGCGGTGTTGACCTCACGTCCCGTGGCGGTGGCGGCGGAGTTAAAAAAGAGCACGTTGGCCGGTTTCTGTACTTCTGTATTGTCAGAATACCCTACATAATTAGGGTTCATCAGATAAAGCGTCTGCAGACCATCAGCTTGGATTTCTGAGCTTCCTTGGTAGTACATGGCCATAAATATCAACAAACTAAACAGATTTTGCAGCTATAAATCCCTTTCAGCACCAATCACAAAACATCCTTAAATATCTGTTTATTTACTTATAAGTGAATCCAGTCAACTATTGCTTTTCAAGAATTCTTGCTAAAATAGTTCAGCTGATTAAACCCTGGAAGAAAGTAAGAGAGAAGAAACCGATGAAGAATAATCCATGCAATAACTTGAAGATAGCAAAAAAAATTTAATTATAAAGATCTGATAACTCATTTTACAGCTTCAACCTAATCATTATAATTATTATATATAGTTGAAGGTAAAGATGATTTTTGTTGAAAAATATATTAAAAACGGATAAGAAAAGACGGAAAATAGAAAAGTAAACATCAAACATAGTATAAGGTCACCTTGTCTCTGTCTATCTTAGGATTGAATTGAGAATTTTCTTCTTTGTCAAGCTCAAATTCTGCTGCAAACTCCCAGTCTCTTCAACTGATAAGAAAAATGAATACTAAAAGAGACAGTGGGGTACTAATAGTGAATGAAACTTTTCTTATGATACCCATTTTTTCTCCTTTCTGATAAGAAAGATAAGGTAATAATTCAAAGGTTTTTCTTTGTTTTTGTACAAGATTAGTCTCTCTTTCTATACACACACATATTGGGTTAGGTACGTGTGTGATGGATATTAGACAAAGACTTCTGGGGCTTGACCCAGCTAATGTACTAACAATTGATGCTGCCACGTTTGATGAAATAGCCTTTTTATTTTTCAAGGAATGTTATTTTAGTATTATTGATGTTACAAAATTAGTCTAGATGACATTAAGTATTATTAAATAAAATGTATAATTAAATAAATTACATAATTTTATCTTTAACTGAACTTATTACATATATAATGCCACATATGTGCTAGATAGCATTCTTTTTTTTTTTTTTTTAAATAACAAAAGCTACAAATGTTAATATGTATTTCCTCCAATCCTTTTCTTTATTTCTTTCTTGTTTTGGGAGAAAAAGGAAAGTTCAAAACGTTTTTCTTTGAAAAGAAACCAAAATATTACTTCTAATTTAGTTTAATATTAGTAATGAAGTCAACACACATCTTGCGTATGATATTCCTCGCGATTTATTAATAAAAATTATACATGTATGAGATATTAAATAAAAAGATAAGAAATCAAGTTAAAAATCAAACTCTATAAAATTAGAGACAAGACAAATATTTAGCATTTGTTTGGTGGGGATATAGGGGGAGCATGTGTCCTCCTCAACGAAAAAACAGGGCCTATGTGGCCCTGTTTATATAACACGACTATTTTAATTCATATCAAAGAAGGGCTTACTAATTTTAATGAACAAGAGATTTTTCGGGAATCATGATAATCTAATTTTTGCTCCGTTCAATAGAAATAGTAGAAGATGGTTTAATTATTTGAAATTCATCCTTAGGGACAATAAACATGGATACATGTCAGTTAATATTTTCTATAACTAATGATATTAATAAAATGATGTTTGGTAGAAATAGTGCAACTCTTGACGTGGTCTATTGCCGTTCTTCCATATTTCTTCTTCTTTTGTATGCGAATTTTTAAACAATTTTAATTTTATCCATGTTTTCATGGAATTTAAAATTTTTATTAATTTTTTAACTATAATTTTCATCAATTTTTATCAAAATTCGTTACTTTTAAAAATATTGTCAAAAAACCCCTTAATAACACACACACACACACGTGAGGCTTTTTCCAAAACTTTTTGTGGGTAATGTTGGATGTTACAATAGTTGCCTATATAATAAAAGTACCCGTAGAAGTCAATAAATGAATAATATATGTGTCCAATTGTACATAAGCTTTTCGAAAATCACACGCAAACACAATCTAATTTGTAAATATTTTAAGTGTATATTTGCCTTTTGACCAGGTTCATCCTCACGTATTAGAATTAAACTTCATTGTCAACTTAAAATGAGTGAATAACTTGAAAGGTATATGTGTATCTTATGTGTGAGAACTCAAAACACAAATGACTTTTCTTTTTAGTGAACCAATCATATGTTTTTGAGGTTCTTAAGCATTTGTGCTAATTCGTTCTTTGCTCGCATATTATTGTGGATTAGTTGGATTGATATCTCACCCAATAAGAACAAGTTGATTCAGAGCAACATAGGTTCTTGTTCACATAGTGCGTCGGCTGATATTAAAACTATCATGACTAGTTTAAGTGTTAAGAGACATTTAGTATGGACCAGGACAGCTCCGGTGTTAATGTTCTATCTATTAGGAGTTTATATCGAGTTCACCGGAAATGTTAGAAAGACAATTAATAGATGAAAAATTACACAAAGATTTAGGTGGAAAACTCCAAAAGTAGAGAAAAGCTATGGAGGGTAAAAGAACGAAATATTTTACCATATGAAAAATTAGTAAAGTAACATAATTTTTAGCTCACTACCTTGTCGTAGGGAATACATTCACCCAAGTTTTATAGCACTCAACAATTTTAATTTTTCTTTCATTTTTTTTTCAGACCACCAAAAAATTAAGAAAATCGTAGGATGCTATACTTATAATTTTTCGTATCTACCATGTACTTCAAAGACAATTGGTTCACGGAGAATGAGGATATTATGAGGTTAATCGAAAACTTTTTCTCTGATTTATTTTCCAATGCCGCTTCTACGATGCTAACATGATATTACTGCTCGTGGCATCGATACGAGTCTATAAGGAGGTGATCTCCAATGGCTTGACACGAGGCTCTAACGAGTATAGGGCCAAACAAGGCAAACATAATAATGGGATGAAATCGTGAGCTCAAACTCGATATGACTTTGATTAAAGCCTATGATGAACGTCGGGTCCATCTTATTGTTTTCACATTTATTATTAATGGAGCATACCAGGGACAGGTTGTGCCTTCATCGGGGACTGCATCCGTTCCTCATCGGAATTCAACTCTTCCTTTCAGGAGGCAAAGACGTAGGTGGTTTAGCGTTATTCAAAAAGGCCGAGATGTGGTTTGTGTCATTATATTCCACGAAATAGGATTAGGATAGAGTGATCCATACTCTCGCCTTTTATGCTTCTTTTTTTCTCCGATTAGGATAGCGTTCCTCTTTTTATTTTGTCAATAGTTGAGTTTATAAAAGTGTTTTGATTCGACAATAAAACATAGTGAAAAAATTGTTAATTTACAGTGGACAATTGCAATATTATTATGCCTAATTTTCTTTCTTTTTCAATTGTTGGACCTTTTGGCAACAATTTGCGCCTTGACGAAGAGTACCATTTCTTTTGGATCTCTTCATCACAATAGTTGAGAAAAACTGGTAAACTTTGATGATCACAAATTCTCAAAATTGAAAATAAACACGTTCTACTTGAGAAAAAATTGGTAAACTTTGTTGAACTTAGAAGAAATAAATTCTTATAATTTCATCAACTCGTGTTGAGCAAACTTGTTAAACATTATAATACAACTTCCGTTGTTTGATTTTCCCAAGAGTTGTTTAGTCTTCGGTATAAATTTCATCATATACCATCCGTCAATGCTATGCTAATGTACAATTTGTGGACCCACTAGCACTAATACATCACTTATCATATCAACCGTCGCATGCCACGTGGATATAATATCCGTCTTACCCTAAATCGTCTTTTATAAAAAGATTGTCATACTTGTAGCAACATATCCATATCTAACTTCCAGTATTTAGCCAAGTTTGCTGCACCTTTTGGATAATTTAACTTGACATGCCTCAATCATCCATGCCTTCAACGAATTGCTTTATCAGAAACAATGGTTGGTCTTTCTTTCAAATTTGTGTGCAACTCAGACTCGCCGACTTCTAAGTACCCTTTACTTTCAACAGCTAACAAGCCTAAAGTAATTCTTATGTCAAATTTCTCCAAGTTGTATTGATAACAACCATATCCGTTTTGTGTTTCAACACTTTGAACCCTATTGCTCTGATATCATTGTTGGGAATTGATCCAAATTTATGATTTTCCTATATGATCTTCGTTCAAGAAAAAATATAAAGAGATTGAAAACCTAAAAAGATAGAGATAAATAACAAAAAGATTTATGCAGAAAACTTTAAAACTATTTAAAAGTAACGGATTGTCTAAAATAGGAATATCTCACTATATAAAAATTATTTCTTGCTCACCATCCTCAAGTATTGTAGGAAAAAATAATCACTTTCCACACCACAAATTTTCTACTATTTGCACAGACTACAAAGAGAACAGGCAAATTCTAAAATGCTAACTTATATTTTTTCTCCATGTCATGTTCTTAGTGGATAAAATTTAAAAAAAAATAAAAATAAAATTGTTAATATTAATGGACAATTGCAATATTCTGCTAAAATTTCTTAATGCAGTCCGCATCATTATTCATTGAGCACAAATGTTATCAAGATAGAACCGAATTCTTGAATGGAACTAATGAAAAATTCATATTAAGTTGGTGCATGCACTTAATTACTCAAACAAGTGCCGACAAGTGCTCAAAGACATGAAATCAGCATCAACATCACTGTAATTGTCTTCATTCGATCAAAAAAATGATTAGACAAGGATTTGAAGGGAATCCACAAGTCCAATAAAGGGGATTAAGAAAGTCGATTGAAAAGATGATTATTATATATATACTTTTATTTCTTTCATAATAAAAGTAGTGCACTTTAGAATTAGATGTCCACGATGGGTACAAGGAATTCCAATTACTTCAGCTTTCCCCTCCTATATGTGTCTCTTTCACTTTTTCTTTTTTTCTTTTTTTTAATTAAATGTCAACATCAACTATTACTCATCAATTACAATTACATACGAAAGAATTAAATATAGATACAATTAATTTCTTTCATCATGGAATTTGTTGCAAATTCTGCTGTGAGAAAAGCTACAAAAGCTCCATGAAGGCAAAATCCTGTCGTTTATGAAGTTAACTTTTGACGGACCAACCCTTTTATGCGACACTTTGCCCTCCTAGTCGCGAGAGAGTTCATGATTGGAATAAATCCTCTATTACTGGACATATGTTATGGAACATTGTCTCTTATCATGAACCAGGATCAAACTACTCCAATGTCAAATTGAAAATGAAATCAAAAGTAGGTATCTAATAGTGATGTTAAGGAGAAAATTTCATGTTTATTGTTTAGTATTATTTTTATTAATTCATATTGATGGCTCATCCCTACTTTATCTTTTTATGTTTCTTCTGTTATTTTCGACGCGATGGATAATTTCCGTTAAAAAATTTGTCGTTGGTTTTACTTTTCAAAAATAAAACCGTCAATACTACATCGTTGATGGACTAAGTCTGTCTAGTAGCAATCAAATGAAATATAGAGGCATGTAATTTTACTACCATTATCCATGATGTAATTTTCATACGCACATTTCATTTTCGGAAGTTATGCACTAGAAGCTAAATGCATCACTTTCACGTACAAAAATCAATTCATTGAGCTTTGACTTGGATTGAAAATTTTACTCGTTTGAACTTATTAAACTCCCAGTTAATCGAACTTATAACTCCATCTACAAAAATAAACTTTATTAATCGTAATAGTCAAC